TTTCTTTCTTTCTTTTCTTTCTTTCTTTCTTTCTTTTTCTTTCTTTCTTTCTTTTTTCTTTCTTTCTTTTCCTTCTTTCTTTCTTTTCTCTTCTTTCTCTTCCTTCCTTCCTCTTTCTTTTTCTCTCTCTCTCTTTCTCTCCTCTCCTCTCTTTCTCTCCCCTCCCCTCCCTTTTCTTCTCCTTTCCTTTTCCTCTTCCATTTCCCCTTCCATTTCCCCTTCCCCTTCCCCTTCCCTGAAGAAGTCTCACTCTTGTTGCCCAGGCTGGAGTGCAGTGGCACAATCTCTGCTCACTGCAACCTCCGCCTCCTGGGTTGGAGCTATTATCTTCCCTCGGCCTCCCAAGTAACTGGGATTAAAGGTGTCCACCACCACGTCTGGCGAACTTTTGTATTTTTTTAAGTAGACATGGGGGTTTCACTATGTTGGCCAGGCTGGTCTCGAACTCCTGACCTGAAATGATCAGCTATCCTTGACCTCCCAAAGTGCTGGGATTACAGCCATGAGCCACCATGCCCATCCCACATGGTTTTAATTTAGATTTTATGAACTCCACCATGCCCATCCCCCATGGAATTCATAAAATCTAATCACTGCAGGCAGGGCCTGAGCCGCAGGTGAAGGCTGCCTTCTGGGAAGCAGTGGTGACCTCTTTCTTTTGGCTCTTCTCAAATTGCTGTAGATTTTATTTGTTTGTCTGTTTTGTAATCTTTTTTGCCTGGGAGCATAAATTCAAGTTTCCCTGAGTATACACCCCCTTGATTTTAAATACCTGCTTATATGAATATTCTCACATTTTCATGATTAAGAAAGTTTTCTGAATCCTATCTTCTGTTTTCACTTTACAAGGCGTTTCTTACCTTACCCAGACATCACTCCAGGGGTTTCAGTATATTGGCACACTGGGGCATAACTTTGGCTCTGGGCTGTCCCGTGCATGGTAGGATGCTCAGCAGCATCCTTGGCCTTTACCCACCAGACGCCAACAGCATTCCCCTCCCCATATGAAGGCACGGACACGGTTCACTGCAGCCTTGACCTCCTGGGTTCAAGTGACCCTTCTGCCTTGGCTTCCTTGTAGCTGGGACCACAGGTGCATGCCACCACACTCAGCTATTTTTTTTTTTTAATTTTAATTTTTTGTAGAGACAGGGTCCCACTATGTTGCCCAGGCTGGTCTCAGACTTCTGGGGCTCAAGCCAGTTAATTTTTTCAAAAATTACTTACCTTTTTAAATTTTCTTTTTCTCTTTAAGTTTAAGTAAGGTCAACTTTTCTCTTTTAAGTAAGGTCAACTAATTTTTTGATCGTTTGTATGTAGAGATGGCGTCTCACTTTGTCGCCCAGGTTGGTCCGGAACTCCTGGCTCAAGCAGTCCTTCTGCCTCAGCCTCCCAAAGGACTGGGATTACATGTGTGAGCCTCCACGCCAGGCTTTCCCAACTTCCGTTTTAATAATCAAATATGTCTGCAGACATTGTCAAGTGTTTTTTAGGAAGCAATCTCCCCACCTTGAAAAATACTGCTGCAGCCTTAGAGCAAAAGAAGGAAAAACAGAAACACCTCATAGTCTACTAGCTAATATCCAAACAGGAAGAACAATTAGACTGAAGTATGCTTCTGTTTCACTTTCCATTCCAGACCCAAGTACTTGTTTATTTAACCAAGAAGCTCTAACTTACTAGTTTAAGGAAGATTTGAGAATAGAGGTAGAAGCCAAAGGGTAATGAATAAATTTGTTAATTCCTCTTTCCAACCAGTGACCTTGGTTGATACTTCTTAGCAGTCACATACCTCAAGTACTGTTTATCTTTCTACCTTTGACCTTTCTACCGTATTTCGTGTATTTTGTGAGTCAATGCCTTGTTTTCCATTAAATGTCTTAAATTTAACTTTATAAAGTTGAAACTTTTTAAATATGTGACAAATTTATATCCAAGCCTTGATTAATTTCTGAATCAAAAGTTCTGTTTCCTTTTCAGTGTTTCTCAGAATGTGCAGTCAGCTTTAGAGCTGGCCACTGGCTTTGGATGAGAACGTGGACGAGGAGCATGAAAGAGTGTCTCCTGTCGTCCTTCTTGAGACCCAACTCATTCTTCTTTGCAGAGGGAAGAATAGAACAGAATTTCCCAGCCTAGAGCATAAACATGCTGTCAGGTGCCTGGAAATCCTGTTTGGCTATCAAAGACAGGTTCACTTGTCTGCTCCTCTATGAGGTTCCTGAACCTAAGCAAAACAAGTCTGTCTCATCTTTTCTTTCTGACAATGTTTCAAAACTGCCTGACATCATGTTGAAGTGGGGACACACGTCCCCCTTTAACCTGGCCCCTCCATTTGGCTGTGAGCACCTTATGGGAATTAACTTTTTTATATGTACCCTGGAATCCCCAGTGCCCACGATGGCAGCTGGCACATACTAACTGTTAAATAAATGTGTTTTGTTTGGATTGGTTAAATCGTTGAACCTTTTCCTCCCAAACCTTACGACTGCTTTAGAAGTATTTATTGTTTCTTCCTTTTGGAGTTCATGTCTTTGGAATATTCCTTCCACACCCAGAGATCAGCATTGCTGTGTTACATTCAGCGAAAGATGAATTGCCTCACCATGATCATGATCATTGTCATCATCATCAGCATCATATTAATAAGTATCTCTTATGTGCCAGACACTTTACACATAATATATTTTGCAATTACATTGCAAAGCAGGCATTCGTATGCCCACTTCTCAGATGAGTTAGAAGCTGAAGCTCAGAGAGGTTGAGTAACTTACCCAAGGTCACCAAACAATAAGCAAACTAGAATATAAAATCAGATCTCTAATTTCTAAAGATCTGCCCTTTCCACTGTGTCATTCCAGTATGTCAGACAGGGGAGTCTCAGGGGAAGCTCCAATGTAGAGTAAAAGCTTCGGTCAAAGACATTTTTATTTTCTTCCGTGACAGGCATGCAAACCCCCAGTGGTTGCTTAGATTTCCCCTGTTAGGGTTGGATGGACACGCCTGGAAAATTAGTGTGTTTGCAGTGATGCAGGGACCCCTTAGAAGGGTTGCCTGGTGTAGTAAGAATTCTCTGGCATGGTCCCACCTCATTTCCTCCTGTCCGGTAGGTCATACCTCTGGGATTGTGCAAGGAAGGGAACATCTGAGGCAAAGCCAGCAGGAGAATGTGGAGTGGGGCAAGCCCGGAGAACATCAAAGCTCTAACAGACCTTTCTCATGCTGACTGCTGAGTGACCTCTTGAGCAATTCCTTTTGTAGCTTTTCCCCACTCTTTTGCTCTCAGTGTGCATTGGATAGAGTGACTAAGACAATTTTGAGAAGCGAGCACTACTAATAGTTACACTGGGATGTCAGATGCCAACTAGAACTTTCCTGGGGAGACCGGATGTATAGTCTCCCTATTTTGGAAGTTCTGTTTTCATGACGTCTCAGAAACCCAGAGTGCAAACGTCTCTGAGACCCTTTGGGTTCTTGTTTGTTTATTTTGTTTTGAGACGGAGTCTCACTTGGTTGCCCAGGCTGGAATATGGTGGCACAGTTTCAGTTCACCGCAACCTCCACCTCCGGGGTTCAAGCAATTCTCATGCTTCAGCCTTTGGAGTATGGGATTACAGGCATGTGCCACCAGGCCCAGTTAACTTTTGTATTTTTAGTAGAGATGGGGTTTTGCCATGTTGGCCAGGCTGGTCTTAAACTCCTGACCTTAAGCAATCTGCCTGCCTCGGCCTCCCAAAGTGTGGGGATTACAGGCATAAGCCACCACAGCCAGCCCACTGAGACCCTTTGAACAGGCTGGGAGGCCTCACAAGGCAGTACAAATTGATGGGGCCTTTCCCAAGCTGGATAGCGTTGGATAAGCCATGCAATCTCTCTGCATTCAGTTTCCTCATCTATAAAATGGGTACAGTGGTATATATCTCAGGGGCTCACATGGAACAAATGAAATATAATATATACCATGTCTAGTATATAGCAGTCACTTTCTTAGCTGGACTGGGGACCCCAGCAGCTACTGGTGGTGATGAGGATCGCTGGATATTGGTCCAGGTTCAGGAAAACCCTGGAAACCCTGAGAGATGCTTTAAGTTTTTGATTCCTATGATTTGAGGATTCTTGGCTCACTCTCAGTTAATTAACATGGACCCTACTCATTCTGACTGGCCAAGGAGTATCTACCCACTAGATGTCAATAAGCAGCAGGGGGAGAGGTGGGAAGAAGAGAAGGAAGGGCTTTGACATGTGCTTCCTGGACTGCCCTGGAGATGGGTGGTGGTGGAGAAAGCCTGACGTAGTCCAGCCATGGCAACCTGGGAGAATATGTGAGCTAATCTTAGTTGCTGTGTTTGCAATTTCCAGCCAAACTGAGCCAGCCAAAAAGGAACTGCAGGAAAGAGCTAGCACCTTACGTTCAGGGCTGGAAAAGCCCTCAATTTTTACTCGTTTTTTTTGTGGGGTAGTGGGCTGGCAATAGACTTTCAACCTCCTGACTGGACAATGATTCTTTGGACATCCAAGTTTAGGGAGCATTTTCCAAGACTTATCAGAGTTTAGGAGGACATGCTTGGTGCAAGGCCCCCTCTTAAAGTGGCCTCCACCTTAGGGTTCCTTGTCCTCAGGGAAGGGGACAAAGTGGCCTGCCTGCCTACGATTCACTAGGTTTGCTCAGAAGGCAAGACTGTTGAGCCCTGTGCTTACTTGCTCAGTCTTGATTAGTTATGCTGGAACAGCTAGAACACAGGCAATGTGACGTCTGTTCCCTGAGACCTCGCTGGGAACACCAAGTAAGTAATAGGCAGGCCTTCCAAAGGGGCAAGAATACAACTGGCCTTACAGGCCTCCCGTGAGGTTAGCACATAGCTGGGGCTGGGCTGGTGCCAGGCAGGGAGATTGTCAGGCAAAGCAGTGCATTCTCATCTTCTCCCCTACCTTTGAGACTCTTCCCGACTCTTCCGAGGCCTGCAGTTGTTTTCAGCCCTCTACCCTTCTCTTTGCCATTCCAGTGGGAGGAGCAGCTGATGTGCTGAAATACTAGAAGGCACATGGCTGGGTGCTATTTCTGGCCTGGACTGAACTCAGAAGTCCTAGAAAGAATGTTTCTGACACTGTTTGCCTTCCGAGAATCCGTGAAGCCCAGGGACAAACACTGCCTGGCTCTGTACTCACTCAGCCCAATGGGCTTGCCAACCATGACAACCAGAGGGGCTGGAGCAGGAGGGCAATGAAGACGGTGACACTGCATGGAAAAAGCCCCCGGTGGCTGGCTCAGAGCACACTGCACCCTTGGCCACTTCTTTGATTCATTCATGCATTTATTAAGCAGTTGTACCCATCAGAGATTCTTCTAGGTGCTTGATACATAGAACGAAACAAACAATATTTCTGCTTTCAAGGATTTTATGTTCTAGCAAGGGGAAGGCAGATAGTAAAAAACAAGCGTAACAAATAAGTAAAATTTTGTTTGTTTGTTTGTTTTTTGAGACAGTGTCGCTCGGTTGCCCAGGCTATAGTAGAGGGGCGCGATCTTGGCTCATCACAACCTCCGCCTCCCGGGTTCAAGTGATTCTCCTGCCTCAGCCTTCCAGGTAGCTGGGATCACAGGCACATGGCACTGCACCTGGCTAATTTTTGTATTTTTAGTAGAGATGGGGTTTTACCATGTTGGCCAGGCTGGTCTCGAACACCTGACCTCGAGTGATCCGCCCACCTCAGCATCCCAAAGTGCTGGGATTACAGGCATGACCCACCACACCCAGCTTAAAATGTTTAATATGTTAAAAGGCATTAAATGTTAAGGGAACAAGAGAAAGCAGAATAGAATAAAGTAAAGGGAATCTGTGCTGGATGGGGAGATGGAGTCTCACTCTGTTGTCCAGGTTGACGTCATTGACCTAGAGATCTGCAAAGATGTGAAGGAAGTGGTTAACTTAGCCAGGCTCAAGCTAGGGGAAGAGTGATCAGGGCAGGGGAAACTGCTAAAGCAAAGGCTCAGAGATGGGAAGATGTGTGCTACATCAAGGAACAGCACAGAAGCCAGTGTAGCTACAGCAGAGGGAGCAAAGAGAAGAAAAGTAGGAGGGGCTTCAGAGAGGTGATGGGCACTGAGGAAATTGCTGATCCTACGGTCCCCCGTAAGTCCTTTGTAAGGACGTTGGCTTCTACTTTGAGTGAAATGGGGATTCATTTCAAGATTTTTGAACGGAGAAGCGGCATGATCTGACATTTTTGGAAAGAATCACTCTGGAAAGATGGCAACGGCAGTGTTAGCCTAGTTTTTAGATATTTCTGAATCCTCACATAAAAACAGAAATTAGAATGAGAACCAAGGCTGGGATCCATGGCTCACACCAGCAATCCCAGCACTTTTGGAGGCCATGGGAGAAGGATCACTTGAGCCCAGGATCTCAAGACAAGCCAGGGCAATATGGTGAAGGCTCATCTCTACAAAAAATACAGTAAGTGTGGTGGCATATGCCTGTAGTCCCAACTACTTGGGAGGTTGAGGCAGGAGGACTGCTTGAGCCTGGGAGGTCAAGGCTTCAGTGAATCAAGAAGGTGCCACTGTGTGCCCCCACACCGCAAAAATATAAAAAATAAAAAATAGAATGAGAATGAAAACCCTTGGACAACATTTAGCACAAAACTAGGTGATGAAGTATTTTTATGAACCCCAAAATAGAAGTGAATAGAAACAGATCACTTACAGTCACAAGACCTGGACAGGTGTCAGCATCAAGGCAGAGAAAAGGGACAGGGTATTTGGTGGGCCTGAGAACAGGAGAGTCACAAAATAGCCAATGGTTATTGTATGGAAAGCACAGGAGGCCAGGAGTTGAAGACAAGCCTGGCCATCATGGTGAAACCCCATCTTAAAACAAAACAAAACAGAAAATAGGCTGGGCGCGGTGGCTCACGCCTGTAATCCCAGCACTTTGTGAGGCCAAGGCGGGTGGATCACCAGAGGTCAGGAGTTTGAGATCAGCCTGGCCAACATGGTGAAACCCTGTCTCTACTAAAAGTACAAAAAAAAATCCGGGGGTGATGGTGCACATCTGTAGTCCCAGCTACTCAAGAGGCTAAGAATCCCTTGAACTGGGAGGTGGAGGTTGCAGCGAGCTGAGATCACGCCATTGCACTCCAGCCTGGGTGACAGAGTGAGCCTCCACCTAAAAACAAACAAACAAAACCACCACCAACAAAAACCCCAGAAATTTATTCCCCTGCAGGCCTGGAGACTAGAAATCTGGAATGCAAAATCAAGGTGTTGGCAAGGTTGTCCCCTCTGGAAGCGCTAAAGAAGAATCTGTTTCACGGCCTCCTCCTAGCTCCTGGAGGTGGTTGGCAATGCTTGGCTTTGGCTTGTAGATTTATCACCCTAATCACTTCCTCCATTGTTACGTGACAAATGCCCTTTTCCTTTTTTCTGAGGTGGACTCTCGCTCTGTCGCCCAGGCTGGAGTGCAGTGGCACAATCTTGGCTCACTGCCACCTCTGCCTTCCGGGTTCAAGCGATTCTCCAGCCTCAGCTACCTGAGTAGCTGGGATTACAGGAGCATGCCTCCATGCCCAGCTAATTTTTAGTAGAGACAGGGTTTTGCCACATTGGCCAGACTGTTCTGGAACGCCAGACCTCAGGTGGTCCGCCCACCTCCACCTCTCAAAGTGCTGGGATTACAGACATAAACCACTGTGTCCAGCCCCACTTCTTATAAGAACACCAGTCATATTGGATTTAGGGCCCACCTGAATCCAATAGACCTTTTCTTAATTTCATTACATCTGCAAAGACCCTATTTCAAATAAAATCAGTCACAGGCTCCAGGTGGGCAGAAGTCTTGGGAAATCCTATCCAATTTAGTACCAACTGCTAAGGCCAGGTCACAAGAATGAAAGAATCTCACCCAGCTCACCTGGTCTGGGCGGCATTCCATGACCCAGATTGTGCCCACCATCCTGGTTTACCTATCCTGCGTCTCATTTTCTTAAGCCCTCCTTTCCCACTAGTTTTATCTGTTAGATGATATCAAACCCATTAATGTTGATGATGGTTGAACAGGAGCTGTTTAGACATGGTCCACTTACACTTTTACAAAGGTATTTTAAGCCATGACTGAGAGAAGGAAATCACGAAGCATTATCTGTCACTCGGCAGACATGGGGGACCTCGCCGTTATGCAGGAAGCCCAATGCGCTGCCAAAAAAGAAGCCTCTCTCAGTTCTCACCCTAGGAATGAGGTCCTGATGATCACTTGCTCTAGTTGGATCTTACCCAAACCTCTCTCGGTTTCTCTTAGCCTCTGGAGGTTGAGCTCAGTTCCCTGAGAGCTTGCAGTCATCACATTCTAGACACTGAACACTGAGAAATCAGCCCAGGGGAAAGGGGAAAGGGTCATGGAGTCCAACTTCTGGAGGATTTTTCAGGATAGAGGCTCTGAGTCCTAAGGTTTGAATCAGCTTATTAACACAGCAGATCTCGTCACTCCCACTCAAGGCCAGTCTGGGCCCAGGGTTCAAAGTCGTGGACTTTGTGTGAGGAGGACTCATTGCCCTCCATAATTTCTGTATCATGCCTCAGAGAAAAGAGAGCAAAAGTATCTGGGCATCTGGTGATGAAAAATGGCCTGTATTTTCTGTCTTCTTCTTCTTCTTTTTTTTTTTTTTGAGACAGAATCTTGCTCTGTCGCCCAGGTTGGAGTGCAGTGGTGTGATCTTGGCTTACTGCAACCTCCACCTCCCAGGTTCCAGTGATTCTCCTGCCCCAGCGTCACAAGTAGCTGGGATTACAGGTGCATGCCACCATGCCCGCATAATTGTTTGTATTTTTAGTAGAGATGGTGTTTCGCCATGTTGGCCAGGCTGGTCTCAAACTCCTGGCCTCAGGTGGTTTGCTCACCTCGGCCTCCCAAAGTGTTGAGATGAGATTACAGGTGTGAGCCACCATACTCAGCCTGTATTTTCTCCACTCCCTCTTTGGCATTAGCCTTAGTTTTCTCAGCCCCACTGTGCATGGAGCTTGGCTCCTCAGCACCCACCTGACAGACCCTCCTGTCAATGGGCAAGAAGGCATGACAAGCCAGGGAGCCCTGAGCTGGGAGTAGAGAATGCCTTCATTCTAGCTCCAACCTTACACTAAGCAAACAATCTATTTTCAGTCCCCAAAAGTCATCTTTAGCCTCTGTGAAAAAAAAAAAAAAAAAAAAAAAAAGGATGTTAGAATATTTGTCCCCTAGGGGTGACCTATTTGTGTCACAAGATTTTCAGTGATGGCTTCTTCTCTTCCTGCTTTTTCCCTGATGATGCCCAAGAGGCAGGCATGGACTTATTATGGGCATACATTCTTTACATAATAGGACTTTTATTTTCAGATCCGTCGTGGCCCTCAGAGTCTTCACGATCCCTTTGAAATTGTATGAGCATTTGAAAAACATCTTTTTTCTCCCTTGGATAGTTTGGCTATAGCTTTAATTAGATTCAAATTCTTTTTGCGTTGGTGAGACCAAAAAAAGTCAATAAAAACAACACTGTTCTTTTATTATCCCTACAAGATAAAACATAATCTCCTGTTCACTTTCTGCTATCTGTCTCACAATTTTGTTTACAAATAATTTTAACATTTCCAACTGTTAACATAACCCAGCCAGGCATGGTGGTGTGCACCTAGCGTCTCAGCTCCTCAGGAGGCTGAGGCAGGAGGATCACTGGAGCCCGAGAGGTCAAGGCGGCTATAATAAGCCATGATAGCACCACTGCACTCCAGCCTGGGCGACAGAGCAAGACCCTGTCTCAAAAACAAAAACAAGCACACAAACAAAACCCCAAATATGCTTACAAGTATTTGTCCAGGGCTTTTGAGTATCCAAAGATCTCAATCTCCTTTAGATTTCAGAAACCCTGTGAAGTTACATGCTACGGTCACCCTGTTTCCCAGAGGGGAAAACAAGTTCAAGAAGGCAGGTAGGGCCGGGTGCAGTGGCTCATGCCTGTAATTCCAGCATTTTGGGAAGCTGAGGTGGGTAGATCACTTGATGTCAAGAGTTCAAGACCAGCCTGATCAACATAGCGAACCCCATCTCTACTAAAAATGTAAAAATCAGCTAAGTGTGGTGGTGTGCACCTGTAGTCTCAGCTACTCAGGAGACTGAGGCAGAAGAATTGCTTGAACCTGGGAGGCAGAGGTCGCAGAGAAGATTGTGCCACTCCACTCCAGAGTGAGACTCTGTCTCAAAGAAAGAAAAGGATGACCCAGGGTGATTTAAAATTCTGACTCGAGTCTCTCTCTCTAAAGTAGAGGGTACTTCTCACTCTGCGCAGAGCAGAACTAGCACAAAAACCTGTCACTTCCTTTGTACCAAGAAGCTGAGAAATTGTATGCACATTAAAAAATACATCCACGAAAGCAACAGTTTTTGGATGGTAAAGGGGGCTTATTTTATTTGTAGACAACTTTGGGCCATCTTATTGAAGTATCACACAATACTTCAATAAGTTGTATTGAAGTATTGAGTTGGGGGGTGCGGGGGATGCTTTCTTGGAAGTGATTGAAAAGCTAAGAAAGAAAAAAAAGAAGGATGCCCCCTTTCCACCAAATCCCAAGAGAGTCTCCTATGGGCCCGTCTCCTTGTTTTCATCTGTGAAGGCCATGTCTGAAAGGAGCTTGGCAGTGAAGTTCAAACGTCTGCCCACTCACAGTTTTCTAGCCCACAGACTGTTTCCCTGCCCAGCAAACGTCATTCCAATGTCACTGCGATTGCTATCCCTGTGGCAGTAACAATACCCTGAAGACAAATCTGAGTCCGGGAGTCCAGGTTTTTACTAAGTCTCTTACTCATGTGCCACTCGAGTTTCTTTCTACTTGGCTATTTAACATTCCCAAGCCTTGAGGACAGGGTGCATGAGAATTGTGCAATACTGATTCAAAGCTAATGTTCTGTGTTGTTCTCTTTAATCTGCATCTGTAATCTCTCGGGGCTCTGCCATGTCAGGTACCCTCTCACAGTCTCCTGAGTCCACAGCGACTTCCTGGCACAGAGAGACACAGCTTCAGCGTCCTCAAAACCGCCTCCTATCCCCCTCTAGGGCCCCCAGACTCACCCCTTTCCTCCCTGCTCCTGTTGCCTGAGCCTGATGTACAAACACGTGGGATCCATCTTATGTAAGCTTCCTGGTCGCTGAGCTGCGTGACTCAGCGCCGAGATGGTCCCCGACTTTCCCAGCCTCGGGCAGCGTGCTAGCCCTCACCAGGTCAGTGGCAAACTGGAATGAAAAACTAGGCCTGCTAATGGAGTCCAGCTGAGTGGTCCTCGTTTCCCAGTGGAGTCTGGTGAGCCCAGCAAGCCCATGGGAGCTGCCTCGGAGCCGTCGTAAACTGACCCATGGGTGGAATTCTCCATCTCCCTTGCTCATTTCCTTTTACTGCCCCTTCTCAACTGTGGCTGAGGATCACAGGAGGTTGACATTCAGCAACTCTTTCCTCTGGGGCTGCCACCTTCTGGGTCCCTGTTATGGACTGAATGTTTGTGTCCCCCTCCAAATTCGTATGTATGTGATGGTGTTGGATGGCGGGACCTTTGGGAGGTGATTAGGTTTAGATCAGGTTACGAAGGTGAGGCCCCGTGATGGGGTTAGTGCCCTTGATGAGGATAAAAGACACAGCCGCAGAGGAAGATGTCTAGTGTGACAAGGCAGCCATCTGCAAGTCAGGAAGAGGGCCCTCACCGGAACCTGACCATGCTGGCCCCCGATCTTGGACTTCTCACCTCCAGAACTGTGGGAAATAAAAGTCTGTTGTTCAAGCTGCCCAGCCCATATTTGGTTGTACAGCCGGAGCAGACGACTAAGACAGCCCCACTGACCCAAGTCCTCACCTCTGGGCTCTGGCGAGGCTCAGGCAGGAAGGGATGCTGGTGTAAGAGGATATGCTCATAGGTTTCAGCTCAATGTGAATACAGATTCTGTCTCCTCGGCTTGAGGTTCCCATCACAGAGTAGGAAATCCATGGGTTGGGAACACTGTCTATAGAGAGGACAGACTGGCTGATTCTGGTCTCTTGCTGTCTCTCAGTTCCCTCCCCTGCAGGTAAGTGATTGTTTTTCCTTTCCCTTGCAGGACAGGGACAGGTGCTAGCATCCTCCTGACTATGGGACTAGGAGCTAGAAAGCCCCAGATTCTAGCACAGGTTTTGCCACTAACCAGGCACGCAGGGTTAGGCAGCTCGCTCTTTCTCTCTGTGCCTCAGGGACTCATCTGACTCACCTGCTTTAGAATTGCTGCTTGTTCCATTTATTAATGGAACCGGCTTTTCCCGGTGGTGGGGTATGATGCTAAACAAGATGGCGGTAATTCCTGCCCTCATGGAGCCCGCGTTCCAGAGCGGGGGGACAGTCAACGAGGAAACAGGTAAGTAACATAACCACCAACTATGCTGCATGCTCTGGGGGAGATAAGCAGAATGATGAAACAGATTAACTTGGAGGAGGTGATATTTATTTAAAAGACTTCTTAGGCTGGGCACAGTGGCTCATGCCTGTAATCCCAGCACTTTGGGAGGCCGAGGCAGGTGGATCACTTGAGGTCAGGAGTTTAAGACCAGCCTAACCAACATGGTGAAACTCTGCCTCTACTAAAAATACAAAAATTAGCTTGGCGTGGTGGCGGGCGCCTGTAATCCCAGCTACTCGGGAGGTTGAGGCAGGAGAATCGCTTGAACCTGGGAGGCGGAGGTTGCAGTGAGCAGAGATTGTGTCACTGCACTCCAGCCTGGGCAACAGAGTGAGAGAAACTTTCCAGGCCGAATTATGAGCTAATAGAAGCAAAAATACTTGAAAAAGTATAGAGTGTAACACAGATAGCAAGCTTCATCTAAGTAAAAGTGCCTTCATTCTCTTCAGCTTTGCCTCATTCTTTGATTAGAGCTTAGAATTGGCACAGCTGCCTAGCACCTGGAAAGCAGCGTTAGGGACCATCAAGTCACACAAGAGGCCAACGCTAAGGGTCTTGATGAGCGGCTGTGGTGGAAAGGTGGGTGGACTATGTGTTCTGTTCTCCGAGGACCTGACGATCCAATCTATGCAGAGAAACACTTTACCTCCCACGGTCTCGCGTCCCCGCATGCTTCAGCCCTTTGTTAATCCTTCTTTCAACATTCAACTGCCATTTATGGAGCACCTGCTAAGAGATAGGGAGCCTCCCCTCCTCTGAGCAGGAACTTAGGAAGTGATACCGTCCTCCGCGTGTCACAGGCCCGGCAGAGGCCACTCCCCCATCTTGTTCAAATTTGGGCCCATGTTGGCTGTGGTCCACTTCGCTTGCTGTTTTGCTCTCCAGCTAGATCTCTTTGGGGAGCTAGAGGATTCATCTGGGGATCACAATGTTTAGCACACGTTTTCTCTCTGGAAAAATGTCTAGAGGCGCGTGGAGTGGACACGCAGCAAATCTCCCTCAGGGAATCCCAGTAGCAAACTTCACGGACTGACCAGCTGGGGAAATCAGCAAGGTTGGGCCAGTGCTGATCTCTGGGCACCTCTTCTTAGGGCCGAGGGCACTGCACAGAGGCCACAGTATCAGGGTTTCCACCTGCTAAGCATGGAGCCTGATCTGCGGTTCTACATCTGAGTTGTGATGCCCCTTCGGCTCTGACATAGCTGTGCGACTTTAAGGGGACAGTGGCTTCCTTTCTTTTCTTCCTTTCTTTCTTTTTGAGACTGAATTTTGTTCTGTCTCCCAGGCTAGATACGGTGGAGAGATCTCGGCTCACTGCAACCTCCACCTCCTGGGTTCAAGCGATTCTTCTGCCTCAGCCTCCCGAGTAGCTTGGATTACAGGCACCTGCCCCTACACCTGGCTAATTTTTGTATTTCTGTAGAGATGGGGTTTCACTATGTTGGCCAGGCTGGTCTTGAACTTCAGACTTCAGGCGATCCGCCTGCCTTGGCCTCCCAAAGTGCTGGGATTACAGTCGTGAGCCACCGCACCAGGCCAGGACAGTGGCTTTCAAACTTCAGTGGGCATCAGAATTTCTTAAGAGCTTGTGAAAATGCAGATTCTTGAACCTGCTGAACGAATAGCTCATTGGATGGGCTGTGTGAGAATCTGCATCTTCCAGACTAATTTTCTCTCTGTCCTCTCTCTCATCCTCCAATACCCTTGAGCCTTTGCCCTCTCAGGGGCTTTGACATTGCTGTCATTCCTGTCTGAATGCTTTCTTTCCGGCTCCTTAAAAGGATGCCTCATTCTGCTTTTTCAGGTCTCAGCTCAGATGTCACCTCCTCTGAGAAGCTCTTCTGGACTTCTTTATTTAAATTGTTCTTCCTCATTCCTTTTTTTCTACCACCCCAACTTGAATGATCTCATTGATGTGTTTGTTTATTGTTTAGTTCCTTTGGTTAAGGACCTCATCTGTCTTGAACACTACTCTAGCCCCAGTCTTTAGCAAATATTTGCAGAATGAATAAATGAAAATATGAAAGAGGATTTCTCAAGGCCAGGGGCTCTCAGGCTTTAACATGCAACAGAATTACCTGGAATGCTTTTAAAAACAAGGTTGCTCAATCTTTGTTCACAGAGTTTCAGATTCTTATTATCTGGGAGTAGGGAAGTGCTAACAAGTTTCCAGGTGCCGCTGATGCTTCTTGTCCCGGAATTGCACTTTGAGAGCCACAGAATAAAATTGAAACCCCATCTGTATCCCATTAAAGCCTATCCGCTGGTGAGCGGTAGAGAGGAGCCCGAGAGGAGGAAGTTCAAATCAGTTGGTCCTAAAGGTACTTCGAAAAAGTACGGGCTCCAGGACAATGCTAAGGTCTCTGTCCTCTTGAAGATCTTGGGTTTCTGATATAAAAGACTGTTTTTCTACCCCTCATCCCTTTTTTTGTAGAGATGAGGCCTCATTATGTTGCCCAGACTGGTCTCAAACTCCTGGCCTCAAGCAATCCTGCCTAGGCCTTCTAATATGTTGAGATTTTAGGAATGAGTCACCACATCCAGCCCAAAGGCTGCTTTTCTGATGAGGAAACTGTAGTGAACAAGTAAGTTTATTCTTCCTCAGCTACCAGAATAAGAAAAGCTTAGAAAATGGTTCTGGCCAGGTGTGGTGGTTCATGCCTGTAATCCCAGCACTTTGGGAGGCCGAGGCAGGTGGATCACAAGGTCAAGAGATTCAGACCATCATGGTCAATATGGTGAAACCCTGTCTCTACTAAAAATACAAAAAATTAGCTGGGCATGGTGGTGTGCGCCTGTAGTCCCAGCTACTCGGGACGCTGAGGCAGGAGAATTGCTTGAACCAAGGAAGTCAAGGCTTCAGGGAACCATGATTGTGCCACAGCACTCAGCTTGGGCAACAGAGTGAGTCCTTCAGAAAAAAAAAAGATTGTTAAGCTCCATCTTTTTTCTTTTTTTGAGACAAGATCTCACTCTGTCACCCAGGCTGGAGTGCAATGGCATGATCACAGATCACTACAGTCTTGACCTCCCCAGGTTTAGGTGATCCTCCCACCTCAGCCTCCGAGTAGCTGAGATTTTTTTATTTTTTGTAGAAACAGGGTTTCACCATGCTTCCCAGACTGCTCTCGATCCGCTGGACTGAAGTGCTCCACCGCCTCAGCCTTCCAAAGTGTTGGGATTACAGGTGTGAGCCCTAAACTGTTTTTTGACATAAAACCAAAGAGCATTTTTGCTCATAACACATATTCTGAGGCACATGTTTAGAGAAGCACTGCCTTTGGGGACTTTTTAAAGGGAGAAATGTTTTGTTCTGGATGGAAACTTCATGCAAACATAAAAAAACACTCTGATAGACACACACACACACACAGCCTTAATCCCCAGATCGGCAGGAAGGAAAATATCCGGAATGACTATTCCAGTTCTTGTCCCTTCCACGTGTGAAGCTGCCCTGAGGCGTGTGACATGGGATGTTGTCTCTACCTGGGTGGGGCCTGAGGCTGCTCTTTCACCGGGCAGTTAGAGTGAGTGGAGGAGGAAGCTCTGGGGGTGAGTGATAGGCAGCCAGGAAAGTGAGGGCTTGGGGAATACAGAGTGGAATTTTCCCCTGGAAATCCTTTTGAACTGAAGCGGATTTGAATGTGGCACCCATGGTCCCCTAGATCCTGGGGCTAAATGATTTTTTCTCTTCATTTTCCAGTCATAATTAACATTGATGTAGTGATCACAGGCAGTTTGGAGACACTTTGTCTGGCTGTAATGATGGAAACAAGAAGGAAACCCCTCCCCAAACCCCTCAGGAAAACTTGATTTTCTCTTTTGACAGTTGGTGGGAAGAGGGGACACTGAAACTTTCCTGCATTGGCAAGGACTGTTCTGCCTTTTCTTAAACACATTTCAGCCGGGTGTGGTGACTCATGCCTGTAATCCCAGCACTTTGGGAGGCTGAACCGGGTGGATCACCTGTGGTCAGGAGTTCAAGACCAGCCTGGTCAACATGGTGAAACCCGTCTCTACTAAAAATACAAAAATGAGCTGGGCGTGGTGGTGCACATCTGTACGCTTGGCTACTCAGGAGGCTGAGGCAGGAGAATTGCTTGAACCTGGAAGGTGGAGGTTGCAGTGGGCCGAGATTGTGACACTGAACTCCAGCCTGGGTGATAGAGTGAGACTCTGTTTCAAAATAAATAAAATAAAACGCTTTTCAGGGTCCTATATTCTTATATTCTTTTGGCAAAACGCTCATTTTGGGTAAATGAATGATGTTTTCATTAATCATCCTAGCGACACTCCAGAGATGGTTTTAGATTAGGAAACAGAGGCTGAGAAGCCAGGAAATCTTTCTGGGGCAGGAGCAGGGAAGAATGTGGTGTCTTGTTTTCTAGCTCACTGGAGACCTCTGAGCCTCCAGGCAAGTTGTCAGTGGCATCCTGCATTTCACCTGAATATCCAAGTTGGATTTGATAACCAGCTGAGGCCAGAGTCAGGGCCATGAGATAGCATGCCTCTCACACAGCCCCTTGCAATGCAGAGGAGCCTCTTTCTTCCTGTCCCAGCAGTCCTGCAACTCTAAAAAGCATGGCGTTGTGTTTTGTGTTTTAATTTTGTTGATTTCTAAAGGCTTTTCTCTCTCCATCCTTCCTTCCTTTCCTCTCTTCTTTTCTCCCAAGGAAAAAGGAAACAATAACAAAATATTATCACTTTGAGAGAGGTAACAACAGAAAGCCATCAGAATCTGCATCTGGGAGTGAAGAGAGAGCTTTCTTTCCCATGACACAGTGCACATGCCATAGAATGTTCAAACAATGAGGGACCTCAGGGATTATCCAACCCACCTGTTAGAAGAAGGTGGAGGCCCAAAGTTACGGTCTTGCACAGGACCCTTAATCATAGCTCCACCTCTTTCTACTACCTCAGGCTGAAAGGGAGAGCATTATTTGTTATGTAATTTCGCAAGTTCTGCTGGAGCTCTGATGGGGTCTCTGCCGTATGACTTGACCTGACACTTCCTGGAACAATTAAGTTGGGGTATCTTCTGGTGTGCTGAGGATCTGGCCAGCTTGCTTATATTTGTGGGCTGACTGGCTGAGTAACAATGAGATGACTTCAGCCTGCAAAGAAAGGCTGCTTATCTACCCTAAAACAGGCTTGATGTTTTTCTTTTTTGAGAAAGGGTTTTACTCCTGTTGCCCAGGCTAGGGTGTAATGGCGTAATCTGGGCTCACTGCAACCTCCACCTCCCGGGTTCAAACAATTCTCCTGCCTCAGCCTTCCGAGTAGCTGGGATTATAGGCGCCTGCCATCACGCCTGGCTAAGTTTTTGTATTTTTAGTAGAGATGGGGTTTTCACCATGTTGGCCAGGTTGGTCTCCAGCTCCTGACCTCATGTGATCTGCCCACCGTGGCCTCCCAAAGTGCTGGGATTACAGGTGGAGCCGCTGCACCTGGCCAGCTTGATACTTTTCTGAGCACTCAACTGAATTAGTTTGGAAATGTCTGAGGCTCCTACAATAGAGAAAGAGTGGAACTGAGCCAGCTGTGCCATAACACCCCTGGTGAAAACCCACCATACGCTGACATCACCGGAAGCCCCTGTATAATTCCAACTCTCAATTCTGTGTCACTTCTTTACTCCTCCTCAGGTATAAATACTAACTCTTCTGGTATCATTCTGCTCTGCCATTTAAGTTTAAATTCTGGATCCCTCTGCCAAGCTGTGAAAAATTGTCTGCTAAAGGCTGGCTGCCATGTAATTCAGGGCCCGTGGCTGCACCAACACCCACTCATCTAGTTCCTCCTTCAGGGACTTTCAGATCATTTGATACTATGGAGCCACTGATGCAGAGTATGGTAATGTCTGTTCTAGATACTTTCTTATTCTGGTAACAGGCTTTTTCTTTTTCTTTCTTTCTTTTCTTTTTTTTTGAGACTGAGTCTTTCTCTGTTGCCCAGGCTGGAGTGCAGTGGTACAATCTTGGCTCACTACAACCTCCACCTCCCAGGTTTAAGCCATTCTCAGCCTCCTGAGTAGCTGGGATGACAGGCGCACGCCACCATGCCTGGCTAATTTTTGTATTTTTAGTGGAGATGGGGGTTTCACTATGTTGGCCAGGCTGGTCTCGAACTCCTGACCTCATGATCCACCCACCTCGGCCTTTCAAACTGCTGGGATTACAAGCGTGAGCCACCACGCCCAGCTGGCTTTTTCTATTATATAAACTTTTTTTTCCTGATTGGCAATATAATCAAGTATTAATTATTTGTCAATCACATTCTTTGTTTTTGTTTTTGTTTTTTTTTTGAGACAGAGTCTCACTCTGTTGCCCAGGCTTGAGTACAATGATGTGTTCTTGGCTCACTGCAACCTCTGCCTTCCAGGCTCAAGTGATTCTCATGCCTCGGCCTCCCTAGTACTGGGACTACAGGTGTGTGCCACCATGCCTGGCTAATTTTTGTGGAGATGGGGTTTAGCCATGTTGCTGAGGCTGGTCTCGAACTCCTGGGCTCAACTCCTGCCTTGGCCTCCCAAAGTGTAAGGATTAGAGGTGTGAGCCCATGGTACCTGGCCTCACATTCTTAAAATTAATATGTGTTGACAGTAATTGGCTGCTAATTGGATCTGTGACTACATTAACAAAAATAATCTTTCATGTAGCATATATGGGTAGAGTGACAAGGAGGGCAGGAAGCAAAAAAGAAACAAGAACAGGACAGAGAGAGAGAGAGAATTCTGTACGCTAAAGGGTGTTGCTGTTGGCGTCTCTAAGATCTTGGCCAAGTCTGCAACTAATTATGTGTGTTGCTTTCTCTGGATCCTCAGTGACAATTTGAGCTATGAATAAGAGTTAGAAAGAACAGGACACTGTATTTTCCAGAGTAGAAATATAAACACATGTTTTACAGCCTCAGAGTGAAGCACCATCACTGAACTCACACTGTGGAGAATACAATTTGACACCTCCCTCAGGCACAGACACTACAAGTGGCTGCCATCAAGAACCTAACATTACTCTGAAAGTAAGGACCATCAAGTCCTAGGATTGGGAAGATCTTGGAGGCCATCTTGTCCCTTTTCTGTCTTCTAGCTCTTGAGCAATAAGAGAATCTGGAACAGTGAGGGATGGGAGGGGATGGGGTGGGGAACTCCAGCCTCTGACTTTGTCTCAAATATTCCAGAAATAAGGATGCAATCTTGGCCACCAAGATGCTAGTAACCTATTCTAGTGTTTAGTTTTATGAACCCCCAGTGCATGGATGAGGGTGATTAATATCATCAAGAGCACATCAGGTGGTGCCAGGCACTATGCCAAGCACTTACAACACATCTCACCTCATTGACTACAACAGCCCCATGAGGGCAGGCACTTCATTTTACAGATAAAGAGACCCACACATAAAAAGGTGAGTAAGTCACTCTGCTGGCAGGCTGGAGTGCTGCGGCGCGATCTTGGCTCACTGCAACATCTGCCTCCCTGGTTCAAGTGATTCTCCTGCCTCAGCCTCCTGAGTGGCTGGGATTATAGGCACATGCCACCACACTCAGCTTATTTTTGTATTTTTAGTGGAGACAGGATTTCACCATGTTGGCCAGGAGGGTCTCAGTCTCCTGACCTTGTGATCCACCTTCGTGAGCCTCCCAAAGTGCTGGGATTGCAGGTGTGAGCCACCCCACCCAGGCACATTTTACTTTCTTTAACAATCTTTTGATAAACACATTATCTTCATTTGTGGATAGTTAAATTTATCAGTGTTTTCCTTTATTATTCATTTATTAATTTTGAGAGAAGTTCTGGCTCTGTTTCCCTGTCTGAAATGCAGGGGTGTGATGTCAGTCACTCCAGCCTCCACCTCCCAGGTTCAAATAATTCTCCCACTTCAGCCTCCTGAGTAGCTGGGACTGTAGGTGTGCATCACCATGCCCAGCTAATTTTTTGTATGTTTTGTAGATAAAGGTCTTTCCACATTGCCCATGTTGGTCTTGAACTCCTGGCCTCAAGCAAATATGTTTTCCTTTATATTTACTACTTTTGTATCTTGTTTAAGAAATTTAGCTGGGCATGGTGGCTCATGCCCTATAATCCCAGCATTTTGGAAGGCTGAGGTGGGCAGATCACTTGAGGCCAGGAGTTCAACACCAGCCTGGCCAACATAGGGAAACTGTGTCTCCACTAAAAATATTTTAAAAATTAGCTGGGCATGGTGGTGCACACCTGTAATCCCAGCTGCTTGGGAGGCTGAGGCATGAGAATCAATTGCATCTGGGAGGCAGAAGTGGTAGTGAGCCAAGATCATGCCACTGCACTCCACCTGGGTGACAGAGTGAGACCCTGTAAAAAAAAATTCTTCCCTATTCTATGAATATAGACGTCTTCTCTTATGATTTCATTATGGTTTTTTTGTTTTAATTTTTGTATTTAAGTCTTTTTTGTTTTGAGATGGAGTTTTGCTCTGTCACCCAAGTTGGAGTGTGTTAGTATGATCTCAGCTCACTGCAACCTCTGCCTCCCAGGTTCAAGTGATTCTCCTACCTCAACCTCCTGAGTAGCTGGGATTACAAGCACCCGAGACCACACCTGGCTAATTATTTTTGTATTTTTAGTAAAGGCGGGGCTTCGCCATGTTGGCCAGGCTGGTCTCGAACTTCTGACCACAAGTGATCCGCCCGCCTCGGTCTCCCAAAGTGCTGGGATTACAGGCACGAGCCATCATGCCTGGCCGTAAATATGGTCTTTAATCTGCCTAGGATTTATGCTTGTGTGTAATACATTGTTGGGTCCTCCATTGTTCCAGCACTATTTATGAGTGGTCCATCTCCTTGCTGATCAACAATTAAAAAAAAAAAAAAGCTTAAAAAATATGGAATGCTGAGTTTGCAGTGAGCTATGATTGCGACATTGCACTCCAACTTGAACAACAGAGTGAGACTCTGTCTCTTACACACAAACAGAAAGAACTCTTCATGAATTGGAGTGTCCTCCTGTAAGGGGCCATGGTAACTTTCTCTGGGTAGTTCCAATTTTAGTGTATGTGCTGCTGAAGTAGGCACTAATCAACAATTTTAATATTTCTTTCTGTGACTGTTCCCACTGCTGGACTATGAGCTACTTTTATATCTATATTACTAGAGTGTAGCATGTAGGATTTGCCTCTGAGAGTGGGCTAAATAATTGTTGAACTATGTTCTTTTTTTTTTTTTTATGTTCTTTTTTTTCTTACAGTGGTGTAATCTTGGCTCACTGAAACCTCTTCCTCCTGGGTTCAAGTGATTCTTGTGCCTCAGTCTGCCGAGTAGCTAAGATTACAGGCATGTACCACCACGCTTGGCTAATTTTTGTATTTTTAGTAGGGACAGAGTTTCACCATGTTGACCAGGCAGGTCTTGAACTCCTGATCTCAGGTGATCCACCCGCCTCAGCCTGCCAACGTGCTGGTATTAGAGGTATGAGCCACTGTGCCTGGCCTGAACTATGTTCTTAATCCTGGGCACCATCTTGCAAAAATCTGTAAATATAAATTAAGTAGGGTCTTAAGCATGGGAAAATTTCTGCTCATGAAGAATTTTATCTAAAGTAGCTGTTGAATTTACTAAATGAGTTGCTGAGTCTCTTGTTATTGGAATAATAATTGTATTAGTCAGTTCTTGTGTCACTATAAAGAAATATGTGAGACTAGGCCAGGTGCAGTGGCTCACGCCTGGAATCCCAACACTTTGGGATGCTGGGAGGCGGGTGGATCACCTGAGGTCAGGAGTTCAAGACCAGCCTGACCAACATGGAGAAGCTCCATCTCTACCAAAAATACAAAAATTAGCCGGGCATGGTGGCGGGTGCCTGTAATCCCAGCTACTCAGGAGGCTGATGCAGGAGAATTGCTTAAACCCAGGAGGTAGAGGTTGCAGTGAGCCGAGATGGTGCCATTGCACTCCAGCCTGGGTGACAGAGC